TGAGGCTCAGTGAGGCAGCACGGTTTGGAATGGCAGAGCCAAAGCAAATTGCCTGGCTTCCGCCGCCCGAGGCAGGCACCTCTCCAGCAGGCGTTCCCTCAGCTCTGTGGGCCGACCGTGCTAAGCTGACCATCTCCCCAGGTGGGCTGTGAGCGTCCTCGGGAGTCCTCTTTGTGCAAGGTGGGCCTTTAGCAGTCCTGCTGGCCTGGGGTCTCCCTGAGGGCTGGGGCCCTGCTTTCTATTCCTGGACCCTCCCATGCCGGGGGTGCGTGTGTGTCTTAGTCATCTCATCTGGTCCTGGCTAGTGGGGGACCTAGAGAGGTTCAGAGAACTAGGGCCAGGGACTGTGGAACCTGTTCTTCTTTATTATAGCATACTGGTTAAAAGCAAGGATGGGTCTGAACGTTAGCACTTCAGTTTCAAGCTCTGTGACCTTGGGCAACCTCTCCATGCCTTAGTGTCTGCATCTGTAAAATGGGAATATTAATAGTAGCCATCTAGTAGGGAACTTGTGAGGGATGAATAGTGTTTAAGACACTTAGCACAGTGCCTGACGTATAGAGCTCAGTAACTTGTCACGATTGTCATCATGATGTGATGAGTGTTTTTCACCTTCCCCTCCTTCCCGAGCTGTCCCACTTGTTCCCTTGCTTGCACCATAGAACTCCCTTCCCCTTTTCCCAGCTGGATCACCCTTGTCCTTTCTTCCTGGAACCTGGGTCCCTTCCTGGTGGGATGGAGACTGGACAATGGGGCCAGGGCTGCACACTGGAGAACATGCCCCAGTACTCCCCTCCCAGGTCACCTACACTACACTTCAGAGGTGGAGCCCGAAGCAGGAGGAGGCCCCTGGCTTGCGCCTTTGCCCCATGCCCTCGTGAGTGCACAGGAGACTGATGCTGCAAATCCACAAAGCACTCAGCCGCAGGGGCAGGGTTAAGAGGGAACTCACGGTCAGGGGCAACGCGGGTGTGGCTGGTGTTGCCGAGAGCACTGCTGTAGGAGTGGGCCTGGTGCATGGATTCATCCACGACGGCCGCCATCCAGATGGCCAGGTTGGTGGTGAGTGTGAACATGAGACCACACCTGTTTGGGGGGGTGGGCAAAGAGGCCAGTGACTCTGGCTGATCTTAGGTCCCTGGTGAGGTGGAGGATTAGGGACCTATACTGAGACACGGTGTTGAGAAGTGAGAAAGCAGCCAGGCCCTGTGTGAACAGGGCAGCCGAATTTGGAAGGGACACTTATCTTGGCCAGGATGCCACCCAAGAGAGGGCCAGGGGGTGTCCAGGGGCTCAGGCTACCACTGCTCCCTCCCCTAGGGGAAAGGGCACAGCACTGGGTAGTAGAAGTCAGGCTAACAAAGCAAGAGGGCCTTGGCTGAAACTCCACCCAGGGAGCAGAAAGAGGACCCATGCCCCAGGTTGGAAACCCTCATCTCTCATGCAAGGTAAGCACTGGCATGGTGGGCACAGCTGCGGTTCTTACCGAGTCAGATCCAGGTGGACGTGAACACAGTCTTTAGCGGAGACCCAGAGAAAGTAAGTCTGTATTGAGAGAGAGTGGTGAGGGTCATTTACTCCACAGATGGGCAAAACCCAGAGTGCCCGTGTCCACGCCCAGTACTATGTTCTCTCTGGCCCAAGAGCCCTATACTAAGTCACCAAGTTCATTTTAGCTTTACAAAATGAGACAGGGAGCATTGTGTCTTTCTATCCTATGGTATAGTTTATATAACAAAGTGGTTCTCTGTTCTTTAAATGTTTGCAAAATGTCACCTGTAAAACTCTCTGGTCTTGGTGGGGTCTTTTGGGGGGGTGGGATGGGGTCAAGTAGCTTTTGACTACTTAGTTATTTCTTTCTGGGACCAAGGCCAATTGTAGGCTAGGTCTTGCTCAGGGTAGAAAGAGTCTCTGATCACTTCTCACCTCCCTTTGGCAACATCCCCTGCCAAACCTCTTCCTTTGTCGCCCCGCAAGCCCTTGATCTCGTCTGGCTGCCTGCGAATCCCTGCTATAGTATTTGTTGATGTTTGGGTATTTATATTTTCATTTTATGTGAGTATTCTTCAAACCCATAAAATGTAAAAGATTAAAACTATATAAATGCCAAAGCCATACATGTGTTGAGTTGTGGATACGTGGGTACCTGGGGTGATGTTTCAGGGGAGGGCATTATCCACGTGGTCATTCTAGTCATGACAGAGGGCTGGGGTCTTTGCTGGTCCCATGTAAGACCAGTCCCATCTCAGCTCAACCAGAAGATGGATGAAAGTGTTGTTTATGCAACAACGAAAACAAACTGTGTGAAAGATCCAAGTTACAGGATACCCTACTTCTTGAACAAATACAGAACACAGGGGCTAAGGCTGAGACACAACCATGTCTACAGCAGGACCCTGGGCTGACACTGATGCCCTCTATGGGCACCCAAGGAGGCAAGCCAGATTCTAGGAGACAGGGCTGGCTGTCACAACTCACACCTCCTAGGTGTTAACTACTGGCACTGCTTAGGTTGAAATAAAATCGCAGAGCTCTAAGTAGGAGCTTGCATTTGAATATTCCTTCATTAGGAAGTGCTTCCACATTTATGGACTCACATGACTCTCACTTTAATCCTACCCCCAGTTGACCTAACTGCTCGGGTGGAAGGTGGTGTAGAGCTCAGGTCTTCTGACCCCCTGCCAACTGTTGGCTCCCTTCCGCCATGCAGGGACACTCTTTCCACCCACCTGGATGATGACAAACACAGCCTGGATGATGGGGTACAGGATCTTGATGGCTGACTGGCACCCAAAGAAACTGGAGTAGTAGCCGGTCTTGAAGACATCCATGACAAGAGTGCAGATCCCAAATAGCACCAGCCCACCTGGAAACCGGGCGAGTGGTGGTGGATGAGAGAGGCAGGATGGAAGGCATGTAGGGCTGAGGAGGGGCCCTGAGGAGGGGGCTGGAGGGGTGGGTGGCTGGGGGTGAGTGGCTGCATGGCTGGCTGGGCGAACAGGGAGGTGGGAGGATGGATGGATGGACATGTGGGGGGACAGGAGGAGTGCATGACTGAATGCCTGGATGGGTGGATGTCCTACTGAGCCCCCCTGTCTTTGGGCTGCAAAGATAAGGGCCCTGGCTGGGCTCTCTCAGCAGCTGCTGGTTCCTGCTCTCTGTCAAAGGCTCTCCCATGACCAGCCTTCTCCAACCCAAGGCAATAGAGTCCCCCTCTGTCCCTGTACTGATCCCTCCTCCAAGACCCTCTCCCTCAGCTGTGGCCCACCTCACCCTCAGCCACACCTCGTCCTCCGGAGGGAACTTCTCACCCCTCTACGTGGACAGACGTGCACTCCCCATTCCTCCAAGAGCCCCAGCCTGCCGCTCCCCGCTGTGCCCACCCTGCCTCCGCCCCCGCCTCCCCTGGCACCTCGGAGCCAAATGGGGCCGGCATGCGGGTCCCGGTAGGGCACAGCCTCGGGACAGCGGGCGGTGCACAGGAGGTAGAAGAGGATCCAGAGCGTGGCGAGCAGCAGCATCGCGGTGAGCAGCGCGAACACGTCGGTGTCGTACACCGCCACCTTGTTGAAGGCTCCGCCGCTGACGAGCGTGCCGGCCAAGAGCAGCACGTTCACAGCCAGGAGCACGGACAGCAGGCGGCCGCCCTTCTTCCACACCTCGCCGGGTTCCGCCTGTGGCGCCGGCGGGCTCTCCTTGGGGCCCGAGGCCAGCTCCTCGGACATGGCGGGGGCGGCTGGAGGAGGCTGGAGGGGTCACTGTGGGGAAGGAGCGGACAGGACCCCAGGTCGACCCCGACGGCTCTCTGTCCCCCCATCTTATGCCTAGTTTGGGGGACCAGGGTGTTCCTCACCCGGAGGGTGGGAGCTGCAGGTGCTGGAGGAAGCGCTGGACAGGGGAAGAGAAAGACCAGAGCCCGCGCCTCTCCTGCTCCGTGGGAAAGAAAGGAGAGGCGGCAGCACTCCCCAAACCCCACTGCCGTCTGACCCAGGGCACCCACCTGGCTGGGCCGGGAGGCCACGCTGAGCTGGGGGTCAGGGGGCAGCGAGCGTCTGTTCTCTTCCACGCCGGCCTGGACGGGCGCTTTATACCCAGGAGGGCAGGGTGATTTACAGCCGCAAGAGCTCGGCTCCATAAACCTCTCAGTCCCATTCACATGATCCATGTTTTCTCCGAGTTGAAATTTGAGGAAGAGGGCTGGAGTCAGATAAGGTGAGATTTATATCTACCTGTCAAGAGGCACCGCGGCACCGAGGGCAGCCCCCACCCAGCCCGGTGCCCACTGGCGCGCAGCGTCCCGGGCCCCCTGATCCCTGAGAGCTGACGCCCAGGAGGCGTCCCAGGACCCGCAGGCCCCCGACCGCCTTCCAGCCCCGACGAGCCCTATACCTTTGTGCTCCTCTGTTGCTGCCCCAAGATCGAGACCCTCAGGCCCTCTTTCCCCTACGGCTCTCGCCGTGATCGACGTTCCCTCTTCCCCTATCCTTCCCCGGGTACCCTGCTCCGCCCGGCGCTGCGAAGTCCAGGGCGTGAGTACCAAGTTCCCACGCGGCGCGGAGTTCGAGCCCAGTCCTCTAGCGCCCCCTGCTGGAGCGCGGCTGGCCGATCGTGCGAGAGGGGGTGGCGCCTGGGATTGCCTCGTGCAACTCGCAGATTGTCTCGGTCCTCATGTCCCCTTTCAGGCCCACTGTCCTGAGGTTCAGGACTACCCCTCCACTGCACCCGCAGACAGCCCTCCCCAGCCCTTGGCCCATTTTTTTGACGGGTGGAGAAATCGGGAGCCACAGCGCCAGGGCTCTAGTGACGAGGGACCTCAAACTCTCCCCAGACTGGGGCTCACGGGGCGGGACGCAGCGGTGGGCACTTGGCGTGAAGGCAGGGCCTCGCGTGGGTCACCGCTGTGCGCTGAGGGCAGGGTGTTTAGGACCCAGGGGAAGCCCGGGGCGGCTCCCTGGGCAGCGGGAGATCTCCACCCCCCACCCCCGCCGTCCGCGAGCGGCTCAGATGTCCCGCTAGCCACGGCTCTGGCCTCCAGACCCTGCGTCTGCAGCAGCGGGGGCTGGCGGCCCTGGCCCCTGCTCGGCCCCCTCCCCCAAACACATGTCTCAGAACTAACCCCTCCGCCCTCCCCTGCGGGGGGCATTTCCCCGTGCCCCCTGCCCGTCCCATCCAACTCCAGCGCCATGAACGACCAGTACCACCGCGCGGCCCGGGATGGCTACCTGGAGCTCCTCAAGGAGGCCACCCGGAAGGAGCTGAATGCCCCCGACGAGGATGGCATGACCCCCACACTCTGGGCTGCCTACCATGGCAACCTGGAGTCGCTGCGCCTCATCGTGAGCCGCGGGTGAGTACCCCGCCACCCAGCCCCACATGGGAGGGGCAAGAGCCTCCCAGGCTGCTCCAGCCCCCTGAGACACCCCCAGACTTCATGGCATCTTTTACCCCTCCTCTGAGCTCCCTCCTTCCCCTGTGGACAGACCCTAAGGTAGAACCTGGGAGTCTGGCATTCGTGGGGGAGACACACGTGGAGGAGAACACAAGCCGAAGCATGTGACACTTGTGACCCGGATGTGGGGCTAGGAGGGGAGAAACTGGGATTTGGGGGGTTCATGATGCGGGAGAAGTTGCTGGAGGGAGAGGAAGGTGGGCGAGATCTCCTGGGTGGGGGCCACCTGGAAGCAAGAATGGGGGGTGTAGCGAGAACCAGAGAGAAGGCTGAGAAGTCTTAGAGGGGCAGCAGTGGGGGCTGAGAAAGGAAGGCTCCGTACTGCCCCCTCCCCAACCTCCCATCCAGGGGCTCTCCTGGCCAGCACCCACACCTCCCGGCAGGCTAGGTCTCACAGAGCTCTCTGCCTCACCCTGCTCATTCCTGGGATTTATGGGCCCTGTCCACAGTACCAAATGTCACTGGTTCAGCCAGCCACGCCATTAACTCTGTCTGCACTCCCCCACCACGGCAGGGCACAGCTAAGCCATGGAGAGGCTGTGATATGCTGGCCCTTGCAGGGGCTTCTCTCCCCTCCCCATCCCCTTGGGGTGTCCTGGGGAGAGGGGGTGAGCAGGGTGTCAAGGCCAGGAAAGAGGTTAGGAGGTAGCAGCTGAAGAATTCCACCCAGGACTGCTGAAGTGGGTTCCCCGGGGCTAAGTCACAATCCTGTGAACAACTTCTCTACCCTCAACAGTTTTATAAAGAGAAGTCAAGTTGGTCTGGACACCAGAGTGGCTTGGACAGGACAAGGGGTGGCAGGGATGCCCCAGGAGGGTTAGTATGAACATCTCAGGCCCTGGGAGAGAGATGCCAGTGCTGCCCTGTGGCCTAAGCACGTGGTGGGTGAGGGAACCCTTCTCTCCCGGGCTGCTCCCTGGGTCCAGCAGCAGTGGGAGCAGCTCCAAGATTAGGCAGTTGAGCCATACTCCAAGAGGCCCAGACTCCCTGGCCCCTCCCCACCCCAGGAGGGCACACAGTGATTGGTCCTCTACTCCCCCTTCAGAGAGACTCATAGGAGGAGGGGAAGAGGGTTCCCCCTTGGTACACCAACCCCCAACTCCTACAGAGGCTAGGATTGGTGTTCATGGTGGGTGGGCCAGATGCAGGGCAGCGCCTCCCCACATTGTCCAGCAGGACTTGGCCACCAGCAGGGGAAGCTGAGCAGGGGCTGTGTGGGGAGCTGTGGAGACAAGGGAGTGATTCTTCCCCCAGCCCTGGGGCTGGCCTCGTGGCCTCATTATCAGCATGGGGCGGGGGTGCTGTCTGTGCTGGCCTCCTTCTGGAGGAGCCAGCAGGAGCCTGCCTGGGGTTGGGGGAGGGACAGTCTGGTGTGGAGGATGCTCGAGGGGGCGGTCAGGGTCCCTGGCCAGGCCCAAGCCAGCCAGCCTCACTGGGCTCCCTAAGATGGGGCAGTGCAGAGACTGGAGGTTCGCTTGGAGGGCGCAGGCAGCCAATGTCTCTCCTCCTCCCTGCAGTCCTGGCTGCCCCCACACTCCCCTCCTGGCCCAGGCCAAGGACCGACACCTGCGCTCACACTCGAGCTTGCCAGGCCTGGCCTCGCTCCCTGCAGACACGGCTGTGCCCGCCCACACGCAAGCACACAACTCACGCACACTCACGCAGGGCTCAAGCCCAGCACACCACCCTCTTGTCCTCTTTTACAATCACTCTGAAATACGCAGCCACACTCACCACCACGCCTGCCTAGAGACCCAGACTTGCCCTGGCCCACCACCTCTCTGGGCCAGCTCCCCGCTGGGCGCCATGAATAATTCACTCCTTTCTCTCTGGGCATCAAATATTTATCCCCTGAGATTCCCAGCCCTCGTTATCTTGGGGAAGGCCCCGCCCTGGCCCCGCCTTCCCTGTCGCCCCACCCCCTTCCTGCTTGTGGCCATTTTCCCCAGGGGCTCCCTCCAGGCTCGTTTGGTGGCTCAGGCCTGCAGGTTTCCTGGAGTCAGGGTGGTCTCAGGCCTCGGGTCCCTCTGAGCCTGCTGTGCCTGTGGGGAGCCCCTCCCCGCCCCACCTCCTCCACCTTGGCCCCGCCCATTCTCTCTGCAGGGGTGACCCAGACAAGTGTGACATCTGGGGCAACACGCCCCTGCACCTGGCAGCTTCCAATGGCCACCTACACTGCCTGTCCTTCCTGGTGTCCTTCGGGGCCAACATCTGGTGCCTGGACAACGACTACCACACCCCGCTGGACATGGCCGCCATGAAGGGCCACATGGAGTGCGTGCGCTACCTGGATTCCATCGCGGCCAAGCAGAGCAGCCTCAACCCCAAGCTGGTGGGCAAGCTGAAAGACAAGGCCTTCCGCGAGGCGGAGCGGCGCATCCGCGAGTGCGCCAAGCTGCAGCGCAAGCACCACGAGCGCATGGAGCGGCGCTACCGGCGGGAGCTGGCCGAGCGCTCCGACACGCTCAGCTTCTCCAGCCTCACGTCCAGCACCCTGAGCCGCCGGCTGCAGCACCTGGCGCTCGGCAGCCAGCTGCCCTACTCGCAGGCCACGCTGCACGGCACCGCCAGGGGCAAGACGAAGATCCAGAAGAAGCTGGAGCGGCGCAAGCAGGGCGGCGAGGGCACCTTCAAGGTCTCGGAGGACGGCCGCAAGAGCGTGCGCTCGCTCTCGGGCCTGCAGCTGGGCAGCGACGTGATGTTCGTGCGCCCGGGCCCCTACGCCAACCCCAAGGAGTGGGGCCGCGCCCCGCTCCGGGACATGTTCCTCTCGGACGAGGACAGCGTCTCCCGTGCCACACTGGCGGCCGAGCCTGCCCACTCGGAGGTCAGCACCGACTCAGGCCACGACTCCCTGTTTACCCGCCCCGGCCTGGGCACCATGGTGTTCCGCAGGAACTACTTGAGCAGCGGGCTGCATGGGCTGGGCCGCGAGGACGGGGGGCTGGATGGGGCGGGCACGCCGCGGGGTCGGCTGCAGAGCTCCCCCAGCCTGGACGACGACAGCCTGGGCAGTGCCAACAGCCTGCAGGACCGCAGCTGCGGGGAGGAGCTGCCCTGGGACGAGCTGGACTTGGGCTTGGACGAGGACCTGGAGCCCGAGACCAGCCCGCTGGAGACCTTCCTGGCCTCCCTGCACATGGAGGACTTTGCCGCCCTCCTGCGGCAGGAGAAGATCGACCTCGAGGCGCTGATGCTGTGCTCTGACCTGGACCTCCGCAGCATCAGCGTGCCCCTAGGGCCGCGCAAGAAGATCTTGGGGGCCGTGCGGCGGCGGAGGCAGGCGCTGGAGCGCCCGCCTGCCCTGGAGGACACAGAATTGTGAGTGCCCAGCCTGGGGGGTGGGGGTTGGAAACCTCTGGGGAGGGGGATCTGCCTGTTTAGGAGTGGGAGGGGGGATAATACCGTGTTTCCTAAAATCTAAGCCACCATCAATTACAAGAGGCCCCACTATTTTATTTACCACCAGCCCAGAAAAAGAAACTGCCAATTTAATGGCCACTCGAGGCATTCTTATCCCAGCTAAGGTAATATGCACCTCGAATTTGGAAATGTGGAAAAATGGGAGACTTAGTGTCAATGAGATGCAGTAGTCCTCGTGATTACAGCTAGGATGTTTTTGCACGCCCCCACTTCCCAGGTACTGGGCTGTGCCCTTGAACAAGTCCTCTTGCTTAATCCCCCTGAACCGTCCTGTGCGGTGGACTGTTTCATCCCCATTTTACAGCGGATGCGCAGATGTGGATTCAGAGGGTTAGAATAGCGCCCCCCAAGGTCCTGCTGCTTCTCTGTGCGGAGCTGGGCTTGATCCCTGCTCTGTGTGGCTTTAGAGCCAGGGGACAAGGGGACTCCCATGGTGTGGAAGGTGTGGTGGGTCCTCTCAATTGCCCAATCCCTTAGATATTTTACCTGCAGGAACATGAGCAAATGCCCCCACACGGCTGTTAGCTCCTTGGAGGCACAGTTGTCTTGTTCAGGCAGCCATCACAGTTGCCCAAGGCTGCCACCACGCTGGTGCTGTTGGTGGGTCCCTGCCCTGGCTCCTCCCCTGTGGCATTCCTAGAGCCCAGCAAAAACTACCCCTCCTTAGGTATCTACGGCCTTTACCCTGAATGGCTGGGGCAGGGATGGGTGTGGGGAGGCAGTTTGGTTTAGAGTTTGGGGAATGGGAGGTCACCTTTAGGCTGGTGTCCCCCATCCCTGACCATCAGCCTGCCCGGAGAGTGGGGAGGCCAGGTCATCCAAATGGCTGGTCCTGGTTGAAATGATGGCTCCGAAGGCCCTCATCTCAGGTCTGTTTCTTTCTATCTCTTCCTCCACAGATAACCAGGGGCTCCTCTCCCCAGACCAAAATGAATTGCAAGTTGCCACAACTCACAACGGTGGGGCCATGAGGTCCTCACAGCTGCCAGCCCTACAGCTCCCTTCCCCAAGAGCAAGGACCATGCGGGTCGTCTCCTTTGAAAGCCTGTCCACACCCTGAAGCAGAGGGTGTGGCCTGGAGGCACCCAGAGGGGCAAGAGAACGTTCCAGGGCACTATTTCTCCAGGGTCCTGAAGGCCTGAACCACCGCCATCTGAGCAGCCCTAAAGGACATGTGGCTTCGTGGAAGGACAGCCTCAGAGGGAGGGTAGAGCACCAGAGCTGGACGGGAGTGTATGGGACGGGCAAGGGGGAATGGCCTGTCACAGGTGCCACTGTCTCTCCCCCACCTCCTCTAAGGGGCTGTTCTCTCTGTGCCCAGGCTGGAGACTTGCTCACTTCCTAATTTGTGTGACAGGAAGAGTTTGGGCTGCCTCCCCTGCCCCATACGTCCCAGAGGGGAGGTTCCCCAGCCAGACTCTTCAGCCAAATGCCCTTTCAGTCCTCACCCCATCCCTGAGCGTGGCCAACCCTCTCCTTCACCCACTGCCATGGCCCAGAGCTGGACAGCCAGGCTGGGTGGGTGGGAGTGACTGGCGCCCTTCCCAGCTCACCCTGGGGTAGAGTCCAGCCTGTCCTCTTCCAGCCTCCCCCTCCTTCGTTGTGCAGCCTGGCCCCACCAGGGACCCCATCGGGCCAGGGCGCTAGATGCAAGGTGCTAGAGCAACAGGCTGCAGTATTATAGCCCCAGGCTGGTGGGCATGCGCCGGCCTAGAGAAAGGCATCTGCCAGCCGCCTCAGAGTCCCCCAGGCCCAAGACAGGCAGACGGGGCACGGCTGGGTGTTGGGCCTTGTGTGGGCATGTCCTGTGATGTGACACTGGAGGATGTGGATAATCTAAACTGCTGATTGTCCTCAGGTCCCCAGGGCTGTGTGTGTGTGTGTGTGTGTGTGTGTGTGTGTGTGTGTGTGTGCGCGCGCGCGCGCGCACTGAGGGTTGGTGGGTGGTGTTTCCTTGAGGTCTGGAAGGGACTGGGCTGCCTCATTATTCTTCATGGATCGTGGGTGAGTGAGAGCTCGCCTGTGTCCCAGCTCTGTGATGTGGGTAAGACCAGGGGAAAGGCCAGCCCAGAGGGTACCTGTGTCCTCAGAGCTCTCCAGCCAGACTGACATCACGTGTGTGGGAGAGCCCCTCAGGAGCCCACACACGTGCGTGTATATTCACACCCCACACAGATGTGCCCTTCCTCCTCTGTCAGCAGTGGACCCTCTGCCCCTGACTTTGGCTTGGGAAGCAGCCCCTGCTGGGAGCAAGACCCCACCCAGCCCCAGCTCCTCCCTGGGCCCCCTTGACTGGGCCAGGGGAGAGCGAGCCCCCAAAGGCCTCTCTCCAATTTGTCTGTGGGGGCCCCGTCCACACATATGTCCAGAGCCAGGAGCGTGAAGGAGGTGGTTCCTGTCCCACTGCAGGACACTGAGGGCTTGGCTGCCTACCACTGCCACCCAGAGCCCACTCCAGCCCTTCTCCCTGTTCTCTGGGCCTGAGCCCTGGGGCCACCCCAAGTGCCGACTCTTCTTTCCTAGCGCCCCAGGGGCCACCTTTCTCTCCCGTTCCTGGTCCATTTACTGCCTCAGCCCCTCCTAGGTCTCCCGGTGTTGGGATGGGATGGGCTCTGGGGTCCCCCACTGTACCACGAATCCTGCCCTCAAGCTCATTATCACTTTTGTAGAGAATTTCTCCATTGTTGTCATGCCTGTGTCTTGTTCTTTAATCCTTTGGGGGATCGGGTGAAGAAAAGAGGGTGGGGAGAGAAGAAGGTCTTCTCTGTGCCTGTGAGGGCGGGGTTCTGTTCCCTGGAGGGGTCCTTGAGCCCCCACCTCGAGCACCTTTGCAGGGCGTCTCTGCAGGAATCACTTCCCGCATCCCTGGCCCTTGCCTTGCTCTGCTAGCTCTGTCCAGAATTAGGAGCTGTGGAGAGGCAGGGTTAGGAAGAACAGGGTCAGGAGAGGCCCCCGCAGCTGAGCCAGGAGGATGGTCCAGGCTCCAGCCCTGTTTCCGGAGCCTGTAGCTGCTGAGGGCAGGGTGATGCTTTCTCTCTTCCCACCAGGGCCTGCCTGGGCTTTTCCGGGGATGGGTAGAAGCTGTACCCCTGGAGGCTGCCACCTGTTACCTAGGCTCTGGGCCTTTCACCCTGGGGAAGCCTCCAGAGAGGCTTCCACTTGCCCGACCACTGCAGACAGGTCTTGGACAGCCTGATGTAGAGCCCTCCTTTCTCCCAGGGCTGAGTCTCCTTGCGCTGGTAGACAGTGGGCTGTTTTCTTAGTCAAGTCTGGGCAAGGGCCCCGGAGTCACCTTGCTCCATCCTCTAAGGATGCTGGACCAATTGCTTCTGCCAAGGGGAGTTCAAGACAGCCTCCTCCCCACAACATCAATCACAGAGGTCCACAGGACGTCAGCTCAAGATGGTTGCCTAGCAATCATCTAGAGGTTCTGGGCCACCTCTCTCCACTTTACAGATGGAGAAACTGAGGCCCACGGGGGCGGGGAGGCCCGGGACGCAGGCCTTCCGGCTGCTGCCACACCTTCCTCACACCCAGCCTGCCAAGGGGGCCAGCAGGACGCGATCCCAACCTCGAGGCCCCGTGGTGCGCGTCTTCCTGCGACCCCTGCTGGCCATCCTGGACGCTGCGCCTACCTCAGGAAGGACCCGCCGGTCCTCGCTGCGACGGTCCGGCCCAGGACATGGGGTGAGGAGGACTCGCGGTGAGGGGACAGCGGATGGGAGCTTCAGCGTCCAGGCAGACACTAACCAGAAGCAGCAGGACGGGGGGCCCGCAGGCCAGCGTGGCTCGAGGGTGGAAGCCCGGGGCCCGGGAGCAGGGGCGGCTCCAGGGAGCCTGCGGGATGTTAAACACAAGCAAAGGGAAGGATCGTAGGCGACAGGGACTCGACTTTCTTGATTCATTCCCCTGGTAATTTAGATCAAGGCTAGGGAAATTCTAAACGTTTAGAATAGTCGATGGTTCCTAACCTTTTGGGATTCAAGTCTGGTGAAAGTAGAGACACTTTTCCTGGAACAGTGCCCGTTGCACACACGCTGGGGCGGTTTTGCTCATGGTTCCGGGCAGCTCTTGGAGCCGGAGAGCCCAGAGAGGTCCAGGCACTCCGTGGGTTAAGCAGCTCTGGTTAGACGGCTATGAGATGAACTCATCGTAAGGCAGACTACCCAGATCGGGTAGGGGTGGTGGAGCGAATCAGGCAGGAAGCCCTCTGCGGCACATGGCCCAACCCTCTCACTTCCCAGATGAGGCAACTGAGGCCCAGAGGGGAAGGGGCTGGCGCAAGGTCACAGAGCAGCCAAGTGGGCAAAGCAGCACCAGGTCTCCCAGTGCCTTCCATGACCCATGGCCTCCTGTCCCCATATGACTGCCCAGATGGCATGGCACCCCTGTCCCCCATGCATGCTGTGTCACCTTCTCAGAGATAAGCCCGGGCTGTATGGAAGGTGGCAGGACTCAGCGGATGGCCAGATCTGGGTGGCAAAGCTGGCTCTGCCCCTCTTCAGCTGTGTGGCCTTGGGTAAGTTCCCCAGCCTCTGGTTTCCATATGCAAAATAGGTATTATAATAATAGTGTTACCCCCACAGCTTATTAGGAGGGTGAGATGAGAATGCATAAAAAGCACTTAGCACGCTACCTGGTATTTAGTACACATCAGTTAATGATGGTCGTGGTCATTGTTGGTCTGAGACTGGCCCATGGGAGGGTCCTTGCATTTGTGGTCGGCCCAGCCACCCAGTAGGTGGGTCCTAGGCAGTCCCAGGGAGCAGTGCTGCTCTTCTGACCCCCTATGAGAACGTGCCCCTCCCCCAACGCCACTGTGGCTCTGGGAGAGGTCACTGAAGGCATCCTCATCTAAGGATGGACTGTTGACAACCCAGGCAGTGGCTGAGGAATGGTCAGCCAGCCAAGGCTGGGCCCCACCCAGTGGGAGGAGCCTAGGCCCAGAGCTGTTCCTGGGGTGCCCAGGGAGCTGGGCGTCTTTTCTGGAGGGGGATTCACTCCCATTGTTGCACCGTCTGAATCTGAGAGGTTACCAGAAGCTTTCTTCTGCACCTGTGAGGCAGGCAGGGAGGGTTACTTTTAGCCTCACTTCACAGATGAAGAGATTGAGTATCAGAGAGGTTATGTGATGTTCTCTTAAGGAAAATTCAGCCTACCTGACCTGGGTCTCTTAGGTCACCCCCATTGCCAAGGCTAAGCTTTCAGGTTTTTACTGTAAATTGTTGAGACCTTATATATAGGGTGTCAGGTGCTTATGACAAGTCCTTTATTTAACCCCTGCAATAAAACCACAACCCTATAAAGCAAGTACTACATTATCATTATTATCCCCATTTTACAGGTGGGAAAACAGAGGCTCAGAGCAGTGCATGACTTGCCCAAGGTCACAGAACCATCAGGCCCCAAAGTGAGATTTCCCTGCTGCTGTAACCTCTTGCCTGGCCCAGGTTCTGAATTGGCCCCCACGCACGTGTACCTTTGGGGGATGTCTTTGATCTTGGGCTCCCTTGGCCTGGGCATGCCTGGATCCTAGGCACGTGCCACACTGCAGCTTAACTAGTTCAAGACCCATATCACCCACCTGCCCTGGGGGCTGGACTGAGAGAGCAGGATGGGCCGTGGGGCTACGGGCAGGAGACAGGGCAGCTGTTTGGGAGGGTTGAAGCTTTGTGTCTGGGGCCTGCCAACATGGGGGAGGAAGCTGGAAGAAGCCTTGCATCCCACCCAGGGGGTCTGCCTGTCCCCCTCTCTCTTTCTGTCTTTTCTCTCTTTGTCCCATGTGTTCTAGTAACATGGGGTCCTCTGTGCCCTGTCCCCTGTCCCCCTCTCCCCAGCCCTTCCTGTCAGCCCACCTTTCCAGGCCTCAGTCTCTCCTGGCATCTTTCTCTCAATCTCTGCCTCCCACTTGCTCAGGCTCCCTGTCCTCTCCCGTCTCTGTCCCCATCTCTGTCCCTATAGCCCAGCCTCTCCTTCAGGGCTTCCTCCTTTCCTCACCCACCCCCCCACACCTCTGCAGCCTCCGGGACATCTCCAGGAAATCTGGCGTCAAAACCACCGAAGCAACGCCCGGGCTACCTGGGAAACAGCGTCTGCATTTCTGGGGTCGGATCCCAGAGCTGCTGCTGCCTGGCAGTGACCTTGGTCGAGTCGTGTAACTTAACTTCCACAAAATGGACCCAAAGTTACTTTCTTGGTGGGGTTATTGCAAGACTTAGCTGCCATGACACGTGACTTGCCTGGCACGTAGCAGGTGCGCAGCATAGGTGCAAGCCGGGCCTCACCTCCCGCGAGAGCTGTACTTACTGTGGCCAAGACCC